AAAAGTCCTGAATTCAAAACGTAAGTAAAAGTAATAGAGTACTGCCATCGAAATATATTTTACAAACCAAAATAAAAGTACTGTTTTGTGTAATAGTCCATGTCAGCTTTATATGAAATAACTGGATTATTATCCACTGTGCCCTAATTTGTGCAAAAAAGCTGGTAAATGTAGAGCTAATTTGATTGACATTATATACTGCTGTTGATATAATAACCTATAATACTATATCATAATTTATCAGTTTATTTACATTTTGTTTTGCTTATAATAAGAATCTGTCAAGTAACTAGTCACTAAAGCTGGCAGATAAATGTAGTGTAGAATAAAAAGGATAATATCGGCTTCCAAAATGTAGTGGAGTAGAAGTATAAAGTAGCCTGAATGTACTTAAGAACAATATTTGAGTAAATGTACTTTACTAAATTACACAGCTGATCATGACAGGCCCAAAGATGAAGGTGGTGGTGTCAGCAGGCTCAGAAACTCAGAAGCCCCTCGAGGAGACTGGGAAGGATTCTCTCCCTCTCTGCTATCTTTGATAAGGCTGGGATAAACCTAATCTCAGCATCATAAGTGTACCGTTATCTGGTGAAGTAAAGGCCCTTACAGTGCTGTGCGTGTTTATGTGTGTGTGTGTGTGTGTGTGTGTGTGTGTGTGTGTGTGTGTGTGTGTGTGTGTGTGTGTGTGTGTGTGTGTGTGTGTGTGTGTGTGTGTGTGTGTGTGTGTGTGTGTGTGTGTGTGTGTGTGTGTGTGTGTGTGTGTGTGTTGGCACTCAAGTGTGTTAAATCATGGCATACATTCCTCCAGCACCTTGCAGCCCTGTTACAGCAGAGCAGCGATGGGCCTTGTTCCAACAGCAACACAGCCTTACAGTTTACATCCGAGCCGTGTGTCTCGGTCAGGAGTGAGAAGCATGTTTACAGATAATGAAAACACATAATGGGGAAAGACAGGAGCAGTCTGGATGTGCTGTGTATATATCAATTGTTTATTATCATGAGACATTTTAAAAGCTCACAGCTGATGTTTTGTTTCATTGAGTAGTTTGTTTAATATGCTTTATTGCTGAGAACACGTAAACTAACATGCTTTATTTACATTATTATAGGTTAATTATACTGTAGGTATGTGATATTTCTTTGGGCTATTATAATACTATTCTTATTTTTTAGGGTAATAATAATAAACCAAATAAGCCTTGTTATATTACATTGTTATATCACAACTATGATACAGTTACAACCTTATTGTTTATTTTTTCACACACGCAACTAAACTATTTTTGGAAATAGTTGCTGAGATTAATGCTCTAAATGCATTATATAGTACATTTAGTACATATTTGTGCATGAATAGAGAAGTTGATTGTTAAGTAGGCCTAAAGAGTCAATACAAAAATAATGAGAAATCTATTGTAAAGAAAGAATGCCATCATGGTTTACTGGATTGAATTGAGTAATTACTTTTTAAAGAATAATTTTACATGTAAAGGAACAAGGTCCAGATGGAAATAAGATGGTTTAAAGTGTATTTGAAAAATGTCCCCCATCTAACATCAGTTTTTTCCTGCACTGCCCAACAGAACAATAAATGAAGCAGTATTGGTACTACCACTAATACATTACATTACATTACATGTTACTTGTTAGACGCTTTTATCCAAAGCGACTTCCCACAGTCCCCACAGGAGCAATTTGGGGTGAAGTGTCTTGCCCAGGGACACAACGACATGCTGACTGCAGTGGGGTTTGAACCTGTGCTCCCCTGATCCGAACACCAACGCGCTAGTCCACTACGCCACACGCCTCCCACTCCCACTATTAAGAATAAACTTTGCTAAATGGCTTTGTATGGAATTTAAAACAACAATTCAGTGTTTTTCATAAACAATCACTTCATATATATTAGCAACAGATGTGACAGAAACATGAAGTGGAAATAAAACACACGCTCCACTCCTACTGCAGATTCTCACGCATGCTGCACATTGTTTGGCATGTAAACCGTTCCCTCTTTAGGAGGTAGAGGGAGGCTACTTCAGTCATAAACATACACATGTATTATGGAGAAACAATGACGGATAAATAGTCAATTCAATAGAGAAGCAGTCGGGCTGCTGAGTGAATGTTGTGTAGCTAAAGCAGTGTGCGGTCCTGGGTCAGCCAGCAGCATGTGAGCGTTAATAAGGGGGGTAATTGAATTAGAGGATCAGTGGAGGCCTGTAGTGTGGGCGCCACACGGCTCTAATTTCATTACAACTGATGTAAACATGAGGTTGGCCCCCAGCACAGGGGCCTCCCACATCAATACATGCACAACTCGCACACACACGCATAAAAATACAAGGCTCACATATAAAAATAAAATTACAAAACATCAAATCTACACCTGCTCGTCTCAAGTGATATCTTTTCCCAGCATGCAGATGTTTCAGCCTGTGTGTTCGTGAGGGTTGTGAGCTTTCACTAATGAAGTAATAAAGGTGAATCAGGGGGGAAATCAGTATTATGTGGCACGAGAAAAGCAGGAACACAGCATCAGCTATTCAGAATGTCATTAAATCTTGTGCAGCACAGGCTCTCTGGTTAGCGCTGTTGTCTCATAGCAAGAAGATCGATTCTCAGCCCTTTCTGTGTGCTGTTTATGTTATCTAAATATGAATAAAGAAATGATAAATCTGGCATTTATGGTTGTGTAGGCGAGAGTACATGACACATTAAGATGACACTAGGGAATATTTTTACTTCGGTTTGTTTGGAAGAACATGATGGGTACCCACAGTCTATGATATCCATCCTGCCAAGTGACTGTGGCTTTTTTTTTTCTCAATTTGCGTGATGCATATTTATGATCAGCACTCGAATGTGCCTTGGCCTGATGATTCACTTGACCATCAGACGGAGCACAGCCCAGTAAATCCGTAGGCTTGTCTGTAGGCCTTCTTCCTGTGATGAATAGTTATGAGGGCAGGAGTTAACCAAAGAGACCAAAGACAAACTGCTTATTTTTTCTGCCACTTTCCTTGATCTCAAAAACTCCTGCAGTTAATCCCTTGAAAAGAGTTATGTAAACGTCCTCTTTTGCAGAATATCAACTATTATTCCACATCTCAAATTCCCTTTACAAATCTCCATGCCTAAAAGAGGACAAGCAACAACAGTGAAAGAAAGAAGGCTAAACAAACTCTGTAGCAAAGTAAAAGAAAACACCACTTCTGTCAGGATTGCTCACGGGAAAACACCCACGCTGTATAATACAAGAAGCTGTAACGGCTGCAGACAGCTTGTGTACACGGGGAAGATACCTTTACCAAAGTGCGTCTGCGGTTTGTTGATTGCATCTCCTTCATGAGATAACAGAGCTGCAGGCTAATGGAGCTTGCTGAAGAAGTGCCTCATGCTCTGTCAGTTTTTCATTACCACTTCACTCAGTCTTACGTAGGATCGTTCAGTATTGATAATTACTGACGCAATGCCAAACTTTCACCATCCATAATCGGCTGTTTTTCTACTTCAGGGAAGTAAAAACACCATCTCCAACCCACTCACCCGCCACCTCACCAACACTCCTGTTCCTCCTAGTCGCTTTCTCTGTTGACTGAGCGATGAAAAACACCTGCTTAATGACATGATAGCATGCAAGATGACTTCAAAAGCAGTCGTTTCTCAGCAACCACCACAGGTAAGAGGGAAGAGCTTTTGTGTGAGCAGATCTTTTTCAAGGATGGTATAATTATCTGAAGATGTACAACTGAATGAAGGCAACAACTGCCAAGCAACACCATAAACTACTAAACAACATTCTGTCTGTAAATGAAATATCCCTTACACAGAAATGTCGCAGGATCTTTTGATAGTTTTGAGGTTTACAAATGTGTGGTTGCCTGGATTCTGCTGCTGCACATGACTGAAATGGCATGCGATCCCTTAGGAAATGTTGACAAGCTAATTATCAATAGCCCTGTCACAAGCAGGCGGAGAGTATAAAAATAAAGTTCACACCACCCTCATTATGAGAACCATTATAGTGAGCGGTGCTAACCTCGCACCCCTATAGACTACAGCTGGCGGACTTTAACTAGAAGGCCATGCTCTCAGTATGTGAGACAAGAAGCTTTGAGGGTTGAGGAAGGAGGAAGAACATTTTGTGTAAGTTTGCGCTATATATCCAAATCGGAAACTAGGGAACGATAATGCAGACAGCACTTTTGATAACTTCTTCTGTCACAGTTACTACCAATAACATGTACCTCTCCTCAGATCCTTAGGAAATGTAAATTCAAATGATTAAGAGTCAAGAAAAAGCTTCTAATAACAAAGCGTCAGTTAAGGTTCAGACTAAATATGTCACTCATATCGTCGCCTCCGTGACAACAAGAGTCTGGTGAGTGCTCAGGAAACACAGCCCCCCCCCCCCAGCACGCACACATACACGACTCATCTCCTTTGCGCAAGCACCACACTAAGGTTTAATCGATGCAGCTCATTCATATTGAACCACAGACGTCAGGAGAAGCCGGGGGAATTACAAGCAGCCTTCGCTGTGAGATCGCAGCAGAGGAAGCTTGAGGAAGAAAAAGCAAGCTTCACTATGGATCTAACGTTTGCTTTCCAACAACATGGCTACTTGGTCTCTTCACACCACAGGAAATGAAAAAGAACATGGAAAACAGTACTCTAAACAAAGGTATCACAAAAACACAGAACGCCATTTTTTTGACTATCAAGCATCCACTTAGCTATGAGAAAAAATTTGACCTCAGTAGAAGCGTTTATCCAGCGTTAACACAAACATAGCTCATTTGAAAATTAAAACAACAACTGGAGGGAAAATAGCTCATGCTTCAAAAGTTCACAATCCAAAGCAGAGAGAGGGGAACATGAACTGCAGACAGTCGCTTTAAGCAAATGCCTCCACACTCTTCAACTGCCTCTAATGGACCATGCCCAGCCCAGCATCAACAAGCCTTTATCTCCCTTTCACTCAGAGAACTCACCAGTAACTGCTGCTTTAGCCTTTGGTGACTAAGGGTCTCCGGGTTGAGTCGTCGGGGTCCGCTGTTGTTCTCTAGAAGACGAAAGCTGTCCAAATGCTGCAAACGTGGGAGCTGGAGCGGCAAAACTTCATTTCTCAGCTGTGGAGGAAACAGAAAATGACACTAAAGTCAATTCAATAAATTCAAAATATTGCATTTTCTTAAGGGAAAAATGGTTAGTTATCAGCATCCCAATGACCATTTTACAGTTTAATTGAGCAGTTTTTTTTGACAACTTATTCCAAATATCCCTTCACCCCTGCTAGTCCCACTGGTGATGAAATCTGCTAGCACTTTCTCTGAGTGCTGCTCAGAGCCAGCAGGGGGTCTAAGTGGAAAAACAGCTAACAGCTACACTCATGCAGTGCAAACAGTGTGCTCTCTCTTCATTGATCTTCACAATCTCATTCTGACAATAGAAGGAATTTACTTGACTACCTGGCCACCTGCTGCTGTCAGCACACATTCGACAAAGTCTAGTTTAGTTTATTTTCAAATCACGCTTGATAGAAGAAAAAAAAAAGAGTTTTTAATAATGGATCTGCTGTGAAATCAAATCCTGGTGGACTGTGCTTGTGAATCTGTGCATGTCACACAAGACATCACGTGATTGGTTTAATGGGGGGACTTAATTGTATTATCTCAGTCATCCAGTTGTTAAACCCAGCTCTGTCTACTCCCATTCCAAAATCTGCAAACAACCAAGCAACATGTTGGCCGAGTGTATCAATGAAAAAAAACACTTAAGCACTCGTTCAACCAGATACTTACAAACCCACACCCAGGTATAAGATGCCAACAAGGTAAAATAACATCCTCTCTCCATGTATAACCACTTAGCCAGCAATGCTGATAGCACTACCTAAACCGCTTGTTATTGCCAAGCTAGTGGAGCTGGCTGGAAATAATAATGCCCCCTATTAAATTATTCATGCCTCCAGTCAGGTGGAACCAGATGCTGCTTTTGTGTCATAGAGGGAGAGCTGTAACTCGACTCAAGCATGGAAGGCCATCGCTGCATGGAGGTAAAGACTTCATAGAACAAGCATGTATGCTACTGGGCTACAAACAAAACATAGGATGTCATGACACCAGGCTGGCTGTTTTCATGTGACATTTTATGCCTGTGTTCAGAAGGACGAGGACGATGGTTCATTAGGTTAGTCCTAAGGGGGGCGAAGCCTGAGGTGCCTCTCGCAGTTCACCAACCCTGTGTTGGTGTCGCTGTAGCCCACTCTGACATTTGTTGCCATGGCCAGAAGATGACCTTTTTTGTCCATGCCATGCTTTAGTGCTGAATACTAATGCTATGGTGCTGTGTGCCCGCCCCTCATGGGAACAAGCAGGGCTATTTTTAGCCATGTGTCCCCAGCTGCACATCTCCAACCCGGGGCCAATGGGCAATTAGTGTTTGTTTCTAATGGCAGGAGGCAGTGCCGTAACCTCCCAAACTCATGCAGACATCTGGACAAACACTGTTCCTGTCCTGCCTTGTAACCCTGCCCCAAGGCACGGCTCCTAAAGCCATGTCGTCCCTCCATCAACCTGAAACTCCCCAACATCAGCTGCCATCCACGATGGAAACAATGTGACTTATTTACAAACTCATGTGTTGAATTTGTTATAATATAAAAAGATATGCTCAAAGATTGCAGGTCAACCCCTTTGAGAACCTATGAATCAGCCTAGCAAAAAAAGATATTGAGGGTTGCCCACAACATTGTCTCTGACCCAGACTGTGTCCTGACCAGTGAACATGATCCTTTATCATCAAATTGGGGCCCACCAATGAATATGGTTTGGTTAGACCTAAGCACTCTTTGGTGCATCAGTCAATCCTAAAATGAAGTTAAACCCCATATCAAATGTACCAGCATTTGGGTAGAAAATTGTGCAGATTTTGTCCATGCCTACTTATTTGTCAAAGGGGCCATTGATTTTAATGTTCCAATTACTGTATCTCAGAACACTACATGGAGTTGGACATAGAATTACAACTAAACATTATTGCAGGGAAGCGACCTGTGGCAGCACCCACCTGTTGCTCGAAGTGACCACGCCCCTGATCACTTGTAACTTTAAGCCTTGACTTAATAAAAGTTCACCATCCAACAGTTGTAATATTTAGGGTGAACAATTAGTAATAGAGAAAAAAACACATGTTGTGTAAAGCTGAAAAACATGTTATATAGTTGAGTATTTTAACATGGGGTATATGGAAATTGACTCGATTTTTGAGCCTCAAGTGGCGGCTCAATGAACTGCAATTTATTTGTACTTTGGCAGATAAACTTTTACTGCTCAGACCTGCTGGTTGCAGCTTGGGTGTCAGATTTTTTCAGTTACAGATTTTCTCTTTAATTAGGGTTAAAAATACGTCAAATCTTCTAAATAGTTACCTGTCAATTTATTTAGTCAATGATTATATGTATAAGTATAATTATTTAGGACTACCATTTTTGAGAAGTAACATTCACAAACATTTCATCAATGTGTTTGTGAATGGCCTGCTCAGACACGGACTGGAGATCTGATTGAACTAGAGAATGCAATTCCTGAAGAAATTGCTAGTGGGAATGCTTTATGCTGAAAAGCTGACGCTGAATTGCTATGCTAAAATGTAATGTGTAAGAAGAAAGTGAAGAATTTAGATTGAAATGATACATGAACACTGGGGGCTTGAATGTGTGATGAGAGAAGAAACGAAAGTAAAAAGGCTTGGAAAAGCAGCAGAATATTTGAACTGCAAACTTTTGAACTGACTTAACGGCGAATGATCTGTCGCCATGGCACCGGCATTTGATGACACACCCCATAATACGCTTAGATGTGTTGATGGCTGCATCATTACCAAACCTGTGAAGTTTTGGGTCATTTCGAGCATTTTAACTGAAGTTGTGAGAAAACCGTGTTTCATAGTGAGCATTGTGTTGCCAAGGCAACGGCATTTGAAGAAATCTTAAAACTGTCAAATAGATGTCTTCACGGCTGGACTGTTAGCACACATGTGAAGTTTGAGCACTTTTTGACCATTTTCATAGGAGTTATAGCAATATCGTGTTTTACGGCGAGGGATGCGTTGCCATGGCAACAGCTTTTGAGGAAAACTCACTAATGGCACATAGACATGTTGAAGGCTGGACCATTAACCATTATCTGAAGTCTGCTGCTCTGACAGATGTTTATATTTGAGCGAACGACGTGTCCAGAGATCAAAGGTTTCCATGGTGATGTGCAGTAATCAGTGAGAGGAGAGCATTTGCATTGTTCTGAATGTGAGATAAACCTCTTACATGTGAACGTTTTGTTGAAGAACCGTAACAGATATCGGTGAAATTTCAAAGCGTGTAACATCTCAAGAACTCTGAGCATCTGAAGTGTGCTTTTCGTGTACTTTCGGGTTAATAATGTGGCCTTTTTGGCAGATTAACTAAAGGTGTGCGGCTGCTGTGGTGGGGAAAGATGAGGCTAAACTTACAATGGGGTTTAATGGAGACATGTTGAAAGTTTTTGTCACGTCATGCCCTCAAGAGGCATTTTGTTTAATTTTTTTGCTTAATTATTTTTCATTTTTCAAGCTACGAGATGTTTTCCTACGTTTCTCATGAAAAATGATGTCTCAGGAGTGTAGGGTTTGGGAATTATGGCAGGTTTAAAAAAATATATGAAGGTGAATTTCAAGCTGTCCTCCACTCTAGCTGTGACATCACGCACTCTAGCCTTAACGAGCTTAAAATCTGAAGAAGGCCTCTTTACCAAGGTCTGAACAATGTTTAATATCTCTAAAAGTATGAATCTGATTTAAAAGTTGTTTAATATGAATAATGTCAGAAAGATGTGTAACATTTTAAAGTTGGAATGAGGTTTCTGAGTGAAAGTATGAAGGAGCAGTTAGCAGTTGAAGTTGCATGAAGATTGTTCAAGTCTGAAGAGTTTCTCCATTGACTTCCATGTTAAAAATGTGATGAATTATGGGATGTATCTCTGTAATTATGAAAGTTATGAATAAGAAAAGTAATAGCAATCGATTCCCGACCGAGCTGAACGTTTTGATGTTTGAACTGAGTTTCTGCGATGTTGAATGTGGGAGAAGAAGAGGTACAAAATAACCCGGCGGAATAATAAAGAATTTCGTGCGTCGAAGAACAGATAGTGGGAAAGCTGTATCAGCATTCCCACTAAATTACATTATTTGTGATAATTGTCAGAGCTTTCTGTTTTCAACTATCCTAGGGTGTAAATTCCATACAGGCATTTCTAATCATGCAGAATCAGACACTGGTTGTTCTAGTTTACAGGCATTTCTACAAACCCATGTTGGGCTTAAGTCCTAGAGACTGTCCTAAACTGAGTACAATCTTTACAGAATATTATGAAAATATCTGGCATGGTGGGTATAATGAGTCAGTTTTGGAGTCTGTATGTCATGACGGTCTCTTTGATTCATTTTAGTAAGGGCAAAGCTAATTCAATCCACCTTATTACAGCTTCTTCATGCAATTACCCTGTGCCCCTCTTCATTGATGGGACAGCATGGAGGCAGTGGATTGGACAGCAGGCTTACCAAGTCCACAGAGACCTATAACATTGAACAATGTAGAGTGCCCTATCATACAGTTAACAAAGATGAATCACTGCAAAAAAAAAAGCTTTGTGCTGCAGCACCTATTGCAAAGCAGAGATTTATTCCCAGTAATCTGATGTGAAATTCCACTTGATCAGGACATTATAATCAATTACAACCCTACATAAACACAAAGCATTAACTTTGGAGCACATTAGTATTCCATTAATCATCCTCAACATTAAAAGTGTTGTAGAAACAGCAATTCTGCCTTCAGCTGACTGGCAGAGTGTGTCTGTTGCAATGCCTGCCAATAACATGTTATCAAAGAGAGTGCAATTAACCTCCAACATGGTGGAAAATACACAGAGTAAACCATGTCCTTATTAAAGACATGAACATTGGACATGGTGTTCAACAACCACCCCAGACATCAGAGGACCCTGCTCTTGCAGCTACTGTCATGGAGTATAAGCTGAATAAATCAAATTACCCAGGCTTAACATCACTCGGTATCTCTTTTTTTG